CTGAATAGACATTTTTCCAAAGACATACAGATGGCCAACAGGTACATGAAAAAGTGCTCAACGTCACTAATTATCAAGGAAATGCAAATAAAAACCACAATGAGATATCACCTCACACCTGTTAGAATGGCTATTATCAAAAAGACAAGAAATACAAATATTGATGAAGATGTAGAGAAAAGGGACCCTGATGTACTGTTGGTGCAAATGCAAATTGGTACAGCCACTGTGGAAAAAAGTATGGAAGTTCCTCAAAAAATAGGACTACCATATGACTCAGCAATTCCACTGCTGGGTATTTATCCAAAGGAAATGAAAACAGAATATTGAAGAGACATCTGCACTCCCACGTTCATTGCAGCATTATTTATAATAGCCAAAACATGGAAGCAACCTAAGTGTCCACTGATGGATGAATGAATAAAGAAGATGTGGTATATATACAAAATGGAATATTATTCAACCATAAAAAGAAGGAAATCCTGCCATTTGTGACAACATGGATGTACCTTGAGGGCATTATGCTAAATGAAATAAGTCAGAGAAAGACAAATACTGTATGATCTCACTTATTTGTGGAATCTAAAAAAACCCCCACCAAACTCCTAGATGCAGAGAACAGAATGGTGGTTGCTCGAGAGATGCAGGAGCGGGGGTGGGCAAAATGGCTGAAGGTGGTCAAAAGGTGCAAACTTCCAGCTATAAGTCCTAGGGATGTAATGTACAGCCTGGTCACCACAGTTAATAATATTGTATTGTATATTTGAAAGTTGCCAAGAGAGTAGATCTTAAAAGTTCTCATCACTAGAAAAAAATTTATAACTATACATGGTAATAGATGTTAGCTAGACATAGCGTGATGATCATTTCACAATATATACATATACTGAATCATTATTTTGTATACCTGAAACTAATATAATATGTCAATTATATCTCAATTTTAAAAAGCACATATTTTAAATGCACTAGTGGGACTCATAGAAGTCTAAAATAAATTTAAAATGTAACAAGGATAAGCTATATTGGCCTCGGCCACACTGGAAATCAGCTTCAACATCTATACAAACAGGTGGCATAAATGGAATAAATGTAAAAATGGAAGATTTAGAATCTTCTAGCTCTAATAATCCATATTTCTATTTCTCAGTTTACTTAAATTTGGTCAAGTATAAATCTTGCCATATTTTTATTAATTGGTTCTCCCATTTTCCTTCTAGTAATGCATTCTTTTTTCACAATTTTACGACAATTGATGTTTTCTCAGATTTATGTCTTATCATCATACCACAACCCTCCTTCCCCACACCAGATCTATTCACCTTGATTAAACTTGTCTCTCGAGTATTCCCAGACCTGGATTACCGTCCTTACTGATACACACTCTCCAACTACATGAAAATCCTCCCCAGGACTATTGATCTCAGTTTTTCATTCCTCCTAGGGGACCATGAGCCTCTCTCTAGAGGCTTCTATTCTCATGCCTGCTCTCTTCATCTTATAAACATTCTCCTATCTCTTGCACCCTGAAAACAAAACCTCTCTACTGACCCAGCATTCCCCATCTCTCTTTTCTCCTCTCCAAAGAGAAGCCTCATCTCGCTGTTTTTATTTCTTCACCTCTACAGCTCAACTCACTGTAAAAAAGCTTCCATCCTCATACACTCAAGATGTTGTTTTAAAGTCACTTATAACTCCTTAATTGCCACATTTAATTAACACATGTCCTTATCTTGTTTGACTCCCTGGTGGCACTTAATGCCTGGAGCCTTCCTTCCTTGTTGGAATTCTTTCATCCCACGTTTCCCCCACACCTGCTCCACAAACGCACCTTCTACCAACTGCACCAATCCTTGTCAGTAAGAGCTTTTATTTATTTATTTTTTTTGCATACCCTCTCATCTCAAATGTTGCTCCTCAGGGCTCTGTCCTTGGTCCTGTTCTGAAGCTACAAAATTTCTCTGGGAAAACCAACCAACTCCTATTATTTTAGTTACCACTTCTTCTGACCCCCACACTTAAATCCTTACCCCTAAAGTCTCTACTGAACTCCAGATCTCGTATCTCTGGTTGTCCCCTGGATATCTTCTCTACCTACATGTTACTAAGCCTTCTAAAATCATTTAGATCTCTTCTGCATTCCTTTCTTTGGGGTGACTGTATTTTACATGCAAGAAGGAAAGTTAACTGAATATTTAGTAGCCAGAAGGGCAGACTGTGGTATCTTATATGCTGTTTATTTCTGTTTCTTCTCTTTCTAGACACATGGTGGAATTGTACTTCCCTGATCCTTTGAAATTAGGTGCGTCATATAACTTGTTTTGGCCAATGAAACGTATTGAAGGTGATGCGTATCACTTCTAGGCAGAAGCCTTTGAAAACGCACACAGGGGCTGGCCCGGTGGTGCAAGCGGTTAAGTGCGCGCGCTCCGCTACAGCAGCCTGGGCTTTGCCGGTTTTGGTCCCGGGCACGAACCAACGCACCGCTTGTCAAGCCATGCTCTGGCTGCGCCCCATATAAAGTGGAGGAAGATGGGCATGGATGTTAGCCCAGGGCCAGTCTTCCTTAGCAAGAAAAAAAAAGAGGAGGATTGGCAGATGTTAGCTCAGGGCTGATCTTCCTCACAAAAAGAAAAAAAAACTGGCACACATAATTTTCTTCCCTTCCTCCTGCTATGACAGCTGGCAACCTTGCAGAGGAAAGAGGCTCCGTGAGCTTGTATCCTTATGTGAAGATGATGTGGAACAGGTCTCCCACCAACCATAAAATGGACATACAGCATGAGTGAAAAATAAACCTCTATGATTTGAAGCCTGTGAGATTTTGAAGTTATTTCTTATTGCCATATAGCCCAGCCCGACCTGACTGACTCATGATCCAAAACCAAATTCATTATTTTTTCCCTGTGCACTATTAACACAATCAAACAACATAAAAGCATCTCATCTGCTCTCCCTCCTATATTCCTTGTTTTCCTTGTCTTTGAGCCATCACCATCTACCCACTTAACCAGGCTAGAAACCTGGGAGCATATCTAGACTCCACTTTCATGTCCACTCACATTTTACGATTCAGGTAGTTCTGTAGATTCTATTTCCCAAGTATCCCTCAAATATATTCTTATTTCCATCCTTACTATACATCTTCTCATAATCTCTCACCTGAACTACTGCAGTGACTGTAAATGATCTCCTTGTTTCCAGTATCAGCCTTCCCTAAATCCAACTTCCATATGGCTGCCAGAGTAATTTTTATAAGATGCAGACTTTGACCCTTCTTCTCTCCTGCTTACAGTCTTTCACTAGAGCTTACATAAAAAGCCAAAATGCTTTATCACGGCATATTAAGCTCTTAATAGTCCAAGCACTTTCTATCTCCTCAGCCGCATCTCTGCTGCAGCAACACCTAACACCTAGAAGGACCCTTTCTTCTCCTTCTGCTCCTGCACCACAGACACACAGACTATACTATTTTTTGACTGATCCTTCTAGAAATTCCAATTTAGGTTTCATTTACTCTAAGAAGGCTTTCCTAGTTGTCTCAAATAGGCTTATCAATTCCTTTCCTTGTGTCACTTCTCTGCTTAAAAATGTGGTTTTGTTACTGAATACGGCACTTTTTAAAAACCTTTGCCTTGTGACGGCCATAGATAGTAATGACTGTAATCCTCCTGAGGATAGGGGGAATATCTTATTCACCATTTTATCTGGAAAGTACAGTTCAAGGCACATTACAGACATTTCAAAAGATGTTTACAGAACTGAAATGATAAGTCATTTCATCAGGTAGCTTAACATCTGTTAAGGGCTTATATTTTTTAAATAGCTTAAAATGTGTTGAGAGCTTACTCCGTGTTAGGCACTGTAGCAAGCATTCTCTATTTAGCCTAACAATAATTCTAGGGCACTGAGACATGCATCAGGTACCTGTCATTACTGATTTTATTATCTGAAGCAAACCATATCTTACCTCCTGACAGGTAGATCATTATAGGCCCTTAAGCACTAATTAGATGGATTATTTTCCTATGCGGTAAATGAATAGCAGAGACGCTATAGCTTACAGTCAAAGTTTACAACTTCTAAGAGGAAGTTCAGCTCTATTATTTAAAATATTTTGAAAAAAATTATGACTTTTATATATCATCTTTCCTTAGAAACATAACACTTTTTGTCAAGTTTAATGGACCTCTGTAGGGATAACTTAAACAAGAGAAGCAGGGGCCCAGAGAGGTTGACTAAATTATCACATATCATAACTTTTCAAGATTTCATTATCATTCTACACATACTCTTCCCTCACAAAAGAGTTTCCTAATTATCATTGACTGACAAAATGCCACGGAGTGACAGAACTGTATAGATGAAACTCAAGATTCATCTTCCGGGGACGCTGACTAGGTGTTGGGGAAAAATCACAAAGATATGAGAAGATAATATAGAGCTTTACGCCCAAATCACACGACTTCAGTCTCTGGCCCTCTTGGGGGGCACATTCAGTCTTTTACAATTCACCTCTTATGAATTTTTTTATCTTCAAATAATAATAGGCAGATGTGTGAACCTAGTCTGTCAATACATTAAAAACAACCCGATACTCTTTTCATAAGGAGTCCATTCACTCACTCATCTTGTATTGTGCCAGAAAGAGTTAAGGCCAATTTACTCTGCATCCCAGCTTTTAGATTACGGGATGCAGAACCAGTTGCATTTGCCAAAGGCCAAAAAGCCGTGAGACTTGGGCGAGTCAAGCAATTACCAGCCACTTGGCCTTTTTGCAGAAATACACAAAACGTGTAGAATCGCTTAATTTTATCCCCTCCTAGCCTCTTCACTTGGAAATTGGCTGCTCGGGCGAATGTTGTTTTTCCCCCCTCAGCCATGTGTCAAAGAGCGATTAACACTCGCTCGACAAAACCCCTCTCCGGGCCATTTGGGAGTTCCACGCGTTCACACCCGGGATTCAGCCCGTTGTGCCTTCACGCGCAGCCTTTTTGTTTATGCGGCTCGCGGGGCCGAGAGGGGCGGAGAGGGAGCGAACCTCTAAATATGCAGCAGGCCGCGGGGGCTATATAAGCGTCGGGTCTCGGGCCTGGCGGGTGGAAGGGCCAGGCTTGCCGGTGAGCTGGCAGCGGCCTTCCGCCGGGCCCGCGCCATGGAGACCGCAGAGCGCCCGGAGCGCGCAGCCGGGGAGGGCGCGCGCTGCC